TGGGTGGATCACCTGAGGTCAGGAGTTTGAGACCAGCCTGGTCAACATGGTGAAACCCCATCTCAACTAAAAATACAAAAAAATTAGCCAGGTGTAGTGGCTCCTGCCTGTAATCCCAGCTACTCAGGAGGCTGAGGCTGGAGAATTGCTTGAACCTGGGGGGCGGAGGTTGCAGCGAGCCGAGACCATCTCACCATTGCAATCCTGCCTGGGTAACAAGAACTAAACTTAGTCTCAGGAAAAAAAAAAAAAAGAACAATTAGAGAGAAAGAAAATGAAATCTATAAAACTAAATTCGAGAATGCTATCTAAGACTTAAACTTCCATGGCTTCGGAATTGCTGTTAGCCTTGAAGACAATGACATCAACTCCTCTGGGAATCCATAGGCTACTCCATACATTAAGGAATTCACTTCTGTTTTTTTGTTTGTTTGTTTGTTTTTCGTTTTTTTTGAGATGGAGTTTTGCCCTTGTTGCCCAGGCTGGAGTACAATGGCGCGATCTTGGCTCAACACAACCTCTGCCTCCTGGGTTCAAGCAATTCTCCTGCCTCAGCCTCCCAAGCAGCTGGGATTACAGGCATGCGGTTCCATGCCCAGCTAATTTTGTATTTTTAGTAGAGATGGTGTTTCCCCATGTTAGTCGGGCTGGTCTTGAACTCCTGACCTCAGGTGATCTGCCCACCTCGGCCTCCCAAAGTGCTGGGATTACAGGCGTGAGCCACCGCACCTGGCCAGGAATTCACTTCTGAACCTGTATTCTGCCATATTGCAAGCTCACATGTCTAAATACTATGAAGGATTCATTTGATGTGTCTAGCTTTTAATAGATAACAATAATCTTCCCCAAATATCCACCTAATAGCTTTGCATGACTAGAAATCTGAAGATTTCGTCTTTTGGAAAAGACTAAACATCTCAAAATCAGAGGAAAAACTACTGTTGGCCTTAATAAAAATGAGATCATCAAGAAACCGTAAACTGAGAATTCTTAAGTGTCTTCCAGAACAACGATTTTTGGAAGATGACCAAACCAATGTCTTCAGATCAAGCTTTGATGACTCCAAGTAGATATGTCCATCCAAGACGGTAAAACAGGACACAAGTTCTGGTATCTTTGCCCTCTTTTTAAACTTTTGCTGTACTTAGCATTGTGCTTAAGCATTGCCTGGAGGGCAACCAAAAGTTTTTAAGATTCTTTCACAAACTTGGCCTAGCGAGATGGCTCATGCCTGTAATCCTAGCACTTTGGGAGGACCAGGCAGGCAGAATACTTGAAGCCTTGGGTCTGAGACCAGCCGGGTCATCATGGTGAAACAGTCTCTACTAAAAATACAAAAATGCAGAAATTAGCTGGTCGTGGTGTCACCCGCCTGTAATCTCAACTACTTAGCAGGCTGAGGCAGTGAGATGAGATCGGACCAATGCACACCAGCCTGGGCAACAGAGTGAGACTCTCTCAAAGAAAAGGATTCTTTCACAAATGACGAATGATAGTTTATCTTGATCTTCTTTTTTTGTTTTTTGAGGCAAAGTTTTTTTTGCTCTTGTCACCCAAACTGGAGTGCAGTGGCGCAACCTCAGCTCACTGCAACCTCTGTGTCTCCCTGGTTCAAGTGAGTCTCCTGCCTCAGTCCCTCAAGTAGCTGGGATTACAGGCTTATGTCACCATGCCTGGCTAATTTTTGTATTTTTAGTGGGGACAGGGTGTCACCATGTTGGCCAGGCTGGTCTCAAACTCCTGACCTCAAGTCATCCACCTGCCTTGGCATCCAAAGTGCTGGGATTACAGGCATGAGCCATCATGTCTGACCTCAATTCTATAGTAGAGAATTTTCCCTGCCACCTAAGGAAAGGGAAAACTTTCTTATTTTTTTCTCAACTATAGCTATTGTTTTTTCAATTTTTATTTAGCTTAAAATTTTTCTCTTAAGAGACAGAATCTTGCTATGTCACCCAGCCTCGAGTGTGGTGGTGTGATTCTAGCTCAAACTCCTGGGCTCAGGTGATCCACTCACCTTAGTCTCTGGATAAGCTAGGACTACAGGTGTGCATCACCTCACCCAGTTATTGCTTTCAGGTTTTAGTAAAGATGAAGTCTCACTTTGTTGCCTGGGCTGGTAGCAAAATCCTGGCTCACAGGATGACCTCAAACAACAAAATATGTCTGCTGACATTATTGCAATAATGTATTGAGTCTCTCCTTGCAGTGCTAGTCCTTAATCTTCAGTGACTCCCCAGCCTCCACTCAAGCAATGTTCACATGTTGAAGAATTAGTTGTCCTGCTCTCACTGTGATAAATGACACTTATATACCCCATACCTCTTTCAGTTTGTGCAACACTAAATCACTACTTTTTATGTGAATATCAGGTCCCCGATCATTACACAAACTTATCTAGTGTAATGTGGAGTGAGTTTTAGACTATTATATTAATAATATTTTTCTATATTTTAAACATCTACTCCTATAGGAAATGATGTTTCTCTGAGAAAGGTACCCAGACCTAAAATGAGGCAAGTATGGTCTATTCAGGAGACCTTCCAGGAGAAATGACTGACTCCCTCTTCATCTATACTTTGGGAGCTCCAATTCCAGTAATAGGAATAATATGACTAGAAAAAAGTGATCCAAAATGTGTCTCTGGTCCCAGCAGAAATCAATAGATGACACTACTTCTTTTCTGGAGGTCCAGTAACCTAGTTTAAATTAAAGTTTCATGGTGGTTTTGAATGATTTCATAGTTTTTGGTTTCTTCCTGGCCAGCCAAGGACAGCTTTTGTTTGATAGCAAATGCTGTTTGCAGCACCCACCTAAAACATTACTGTTCAGGCAGAACAGTTTTGTGGCAAGGTTAAAAGACTACCTGTCTCTCTAGAATAGATTCAGATGGAGTTGGGACATGATTTCATGGTCTGGTTTTGAAATCGTCCTTTGTCTTTGCAACGTATTACTAGGATTAATAATCATTTTGTTTCAGTAATTACCTGTATTTGACTAGTACATTCTGTTCAGTCTTTTTTTTTTGAGACGGAATTTTGCTCTTGCCCCCTAGGCTGGAGTGCTATGGTGTGATCTCAGCTCACTGCAACCTGTGCCTCCTGGGTTCAAGCGATTCTCTTGCCTCAGCCTCCTGAGTAGCTAGGATTACAGGTGCCCGCCAACATGCCAAGGTAATTTTTGTATTTTTAGTAGAGATGGGGTTTCACCATGTTGACCATCAGGCTGGCCTTCAACTCCTGACCTCAGGTGATCCACCTGCCTTGGCCTCCCAAAGTGTGGGATTACAGGCGTGAGCCTCCTCTTCAGTCTTAAATGCTACTTAAATGCTACTGTGCAGTCATTATATTTTCACTATGTATATTTTGTAACAAAATGTACATGAAAGACCAAATGTTTGTGGATGCAGAGAACATTCTCCCGAAAACCTTGTGATCTGTGGATTCTGATAGTGGTATAGATCTGAACCTCATAGATGAAACTCCTAATGGCTGACTTTGTCTTTGGTAAAAGGGGAGGCTGAAAACTGAAAAATCACCCAAAAACTTGCAGTGGGAAGCTGACAGGCCAAGCTGAATCTTCCCTACCAAACATGAACGTCTCCTGCAATTTTATTTTTTTTATTTTTATTTTTATTTTTAGACAGAGTCTTGCTATGTTACACAGGCTGGAGTGCAGTGGCGTGATCTCAGCTCACTGCAACCTCCGCCTCCTGGGTTCAAGTGATTCTCCTGCCTCAGCCTCCTGAGTACCTGGGGTTACAGGCGTGTGCCACCATGCCCCAGCTAATTTTTTGTATTTTTAGTAGAGACAGGGTTTCAGCATGTTGGTCAGGCTGGTCTGGAACTCCTGTCCTCCTGATCTGCCCACCTCAATCTCCCAAAGTCCTGGGATTACAGGCATGAGCCACCGCCCCCGGCCGCAAAATATGTTAAATACTCAAGATTGCTCAGTGATGGTCACTCAACGAGATGTAGAAAGTCTATTCTGGCATTCTGTGACAGCTCAGCCGGGCGCGGTGGCTCCTGCCTGTAATCCCAGCACTTAGGGAGGCCGAGGTGGCGAGATCAGGAAGTCAGGAGATGGACACCATCCTGGCTGACATGGTGAAACCCAGTCTCTACCAAAAAAATTACAAAAGATTAGCCGGGCATGGTGGCGGGCGCCTGTAGTCACAGCTACTTGGGAGGCTGAGGCAGGAGAATGTCATGAACCCGGGAGGCGGAGCTTGCAGGGAACCGAGATTGCGCCACTGCACTCCAGCCTGGGCGACAGAGTGAGACTCCCTTTAAAAAAGAAAGAAAGAAAAAAAAAAAGTACATTCTGTAACTATATTTGAAACCAGAGATAACATTCAGCAATGAAGACCACATTAGTCTCTCAACTTCCTAGATAAATTTACCAGCATAATTACCAAATTGCCCCATTTTAGAGAACTAGCTCCTACTCCTTAAACACGCCTTAGACTGCCCTAGTCAACTCCTACAATGGGCTCCTATGACACCATCCTATCAAGTTTATTTTCCTGTGTTGTTTGCTCTCCCTTGATGCAACACACCAAATAAACCCAGTCGTGTTGGAATACACTGTGTGGTCATTGGGTGGCTGCCGACACCTGTGCAAATCTACGGAGCCCATTTGGAGGCTTCCTGCACCTCCATACCCTCACCCCTGCCCTGGTTCATGCCAGTAGGCATGCTCCAAAATCCTTTGCATTTAGAGTGAAGAAAAATTCCTGATTCCGGGGCATCAGAAAGCCAAGCACTTATCAGATGATTAAGTCTGACTTGAAAAGATTAAGCTCAGAGCAGATAATTACTTGGAATGAATTATCTTGGGAAGACCTCCGGGGATTGGACACCCACCCTAAGGTGGATCAAGGGGCGGGTTGTTTGGATTCCTTATTAAGCACAGAGCCTAGGCCCTTCCTCGCTTTTCCAAGTCTTTTGCCAAGCAGTTTCTTAGACTTTCCCCTATTCTGAATCAGGTGGGAGCAGAGCATGGACATGGGAGCAGGTGCTCTCAGCAAGGAGCCGTGGTGGACCCTACCCGAAAACTTTCGTGATCCAATGGTGTTCCACATGGAAGAGGACCAGGAGGAGCTCATCTTCGGTGAGTGGCCTTTGCCGACGTCCCCTCCTTCATCTGTTTGTTTTTATTTTTTTGAGACAGATTCTCGCTCGTGATCTTGGCTCACTGCAGCGTCTGCCTTTTGGGTTGAAGTGATTCTCATGCTTCAGCCTGCAGAGTACCTGGGATTACAGGCTCCTGCCACCATGCCTAACTAGCTTTTGTATTTTTTGTTTGTTTGTTTGTTTTGAGACAGTCTCGCTCTGTCGCCCAGGCTGGAGTGCGGTGGCGCCATGACGGCTCACTGCAAGCTCCGCCTCCCGGGTTCTCGCCATTCTCCTGCCTCAGCCAACGAGTAGCTGGGACTACAGGCGCCCGCACCTCACCTGGCTAATTTTTTGTATTTTTAGTAGAGACGGGGTTTCACCGTGTTAGCCAGGATGGTCTCGATCTCCTGACCTCGTGATCTGTCCGCCTTGGCCTCTCAAAGTGCTGGGATTACAAGCGTGAGCCACGGCTCCAGGCCTAGTATTTTTTTTTTTTTTTTTTTTTTTTTGAGACGGAGTCTTGCTCTGTCGCCCGGGCTGGAGTGCAGTGGCCGGATCTCAGCTCACTGCAAGCTCCGCCTCCCGGGTTTACGCCATTCTCCTGCCTCAGCCTCCCGAGTAGCTGGGACTACAGGCGCCCAACAGCACGCCCGGCTAGTTTTTCGTATTTTTAGTAGAGACGGGTTTCGCCGTGTCAGCCAGGCGTGTGTGGAACTCCTGACCTCAAGTGATCTACCTGCCTCCGCCTCCCAAAGTGCTGGGATTACAGGCATGAGTCACTGCGCCAGGCCGGCCTCCTTCATCCCCTTGTCGGTTTTCCATCTTCCCCTCTCCTCCCACCTTCATGAGTCACACATCCCTACCCTCAAGGCCACTTCCCCACCCCCCAAGGACTGGTGGCTGACAGTTCCTCTTCTCACCTCTTGTGCTTCCAGGACTTGGTGACACATACCTTCGCTGCATTGAGCTGCACAGCCACACCCTTATTCAGCTGGAGAGCTGTTTTACAGCTACAGGCCAGACTCGTGTGACCGTAGTCGGACCACCAATGGCAAAGCAGTGGCTGCTGCTCATGTTCCGCTGCGTGGGGAGCCACTACTCCAAGTGTCACGCTCGAGGTAGGTATCCTTGGCTGAACTGTGGAGGGGAGGGCTTGATGGTGGAGTTCTGGCTGTGTTGTGTGGCATCTTGGATTCGTGAAGAATCCCTTGTGTGGCCGGGGAATCCAGGTGCTCTTCCCAGAATCCATTGGGAAGGGAAGGGCTCATTTTTGTGGCATGCGATTGCTCAGAGAGGAAAGGGTAGCAGGGAATAGTAAATGGGTTACCTTGGAAGACCTGGGCTGGGGTGACATCCTCCCTGGAACCTTCCTGGTGGAGTCCGGGCCGACCAAGAGCCCCAGTAATGGACTGTGGTTCATCAGCCCCAGGCAATTCTTTTGCAGGTCTGAAGATGCTCGAGCATGTCCGAAGCCAGCCCCTGACCAACGACGACCTGGTCGCCTCCATTAGCCTGCCACCCTACACCGGAGACTGATCTCCCCTGGGAAGCGGGGATGAGAGGAGAAGTCTTGGCTTCACTTTTGCTGAGAAAGACATGAAAAACAATGAAGAAAGTTTGAATCTGTGGCCAGACCTGCCCCTCTCAGGCCTTCTAGGCATGTGTCTGAGGCCAATCTCCTGAACGCAAGAAGTGTGATTGGTAAAGCAATCCAATAAAATAAGCTACCTACGATGCAAAGCCTTCTATGTGCTGTCCTCTTTCCTTAGGATGAACTAGTCAGTCCTGAAGGGGATTCTCTGGACAAGTGCTGAGGTCTGGGGAGGCCCAGCCCAGGGAAGGAGCGGGGTACGAAAGTCAGGGCTTTCAGGAACTGCTCCTCTCAGGCCTGGAGCCTGGTTAGGCTTCTCTGAGTTGAGTGAAAACGGAGGCTGCTGAAAAGGGACCCTCCTAGGATCCCCAGGGTTTTCCTGGACCTTGAAGTGCAGACAAATGGGGAGAATGGAAAGGTGGGAGGAAGGGTCCAGATAGAGATGGAAAGTGTTCCCACCCCAACTACCTGGTGAAGTAGACAACCAGGGAAGCTGGTGAATATGAGGTAGCCAGCATTGTCCCTGATTGCCCAAGTTTGTGGGTGGGGTGAGAGTGGAGGGGGTGATTTTCAGGGAGCTAAGGATTCCGAAGTCCCTCAAGCCATGAATTAAATTGACTAGGAAGGCTTCCTGAATTTCCACTGAAGAACTTTATCTGATTGCGGAATCTACATCTTTCTGTAGCCAAAATTATGGCATGCTAAAACTGTCCTCAGTAGAACTCTTCCTCTTCAAATTTGCCGTTTCTCCAGCAGTCTGTAACTTATAATGAGGCAATTGCAGTACTCTAGGAGAGTGACGGTGGTGACTTGGACCCCAGAGTGGAGTGGTAGAGTTAGGAAATGGTTGAATTTGGAATCTATTTTGAAGCCCACAAGATTTGCTAGTTACATGGTTTTTAGAAGGCCAGTTACCAAATATAAGTCAGAAAGGTTGGCCGGGCGGGGTGGCTCAGGCCTGTAATCCCAGCACTTTCGAGGTGGGTGGATCACGAGGTCAGGAGATCGAGACCATCCTGGCTGACACGGTGAAACCCCGTCTCTAGTAAAAATTCAAAACATTAGCCAGGCCTGGTGGCGGGTGCCCGTAGTCCCAGCTACTTGGGAGGCAGAGGCAGGAGAATAGCATGAACCCTGGAGGCAGAGCTTGCAGTGAGCCAAGATCGTGTCACTGCACTCCAGCCTGGGCAACAGAGCCAGACTCCGTCTCAAAAAAAAAAAAAAAAAAAAAAAAGCGCTTGTGCAGTGAGCCAAGATCGTGTCACTGCACTCCAGCCTGGGCACAGTGAGCCAGACTCCGTCTCAAAGAATGAAGAGCCAGACTCCGTCTCAAAAAAAAAAAAAAAAAAAAAAAAGAATAGCTGGGCGCTGTGGCTCATGCCAGTAATTCTGGCACTTTGGGAGGCCAAGGTGGGTGGATTACCTAGGTTAAGTGTTTGAGACTAGCCTGGCCAACATAGTCAAACCCCGTCTCTACTAAAAATACAAAAATTAGGCAGGTGTGGTGGCACATGACTGTAATCCCAGCTACTCGAGAGGCTGAGGCAGTAGAATCGTTGGAACCCGGGAGGCAGAGATTGCAGTGAGCTGAGTTCCCATAGCGCACTCCAGGCTGGGTGACAGAGCGAGACTCCATCTCAAAAAGAAAAAAAAAGAAGATAAACGTATGTGCCTGACCTTTGAACAATAACCAACATCAATTTTACTAAAACATTCCTAGGGAAGAATCTCATGATTGTTAAAAGTACCACAGTATTTCTAACTCCATTTAAACTTCAGGCTTGACAATCATGGCTCTGTGCTAGTTGTTTTTATTACACAAATTTCTAGAAAATATTTTTTCTCATAAAGATCTGTATATACTTGAGTTTAATTTAAGGAATCTGAGCTGTCGCTTTCTAATGACTGAAAGCAATGAATGATCTCAATGAAGGATGTGGGCCTGAAGCATTTTCTTGAGGAAACTGTTAAAAAAAACACACACACAAAAGGCCTGGCGCGGTGGCTCACGCCTGCAATCACAGCACTTTGGGAGGCCAAGGCGGGCGGATCACGAGGTCAGGAGATCGAGACCATCCTGGCTAACACAGTGAAACCCCGTCTTTACTAAAAATGCAAAAAATTAGCCGGACGTGGTGGCAGGCGCCTGTAGTCCCAGCTACTTGGGAGGCTGAGGCAGGAGAATGGCGTGAACCCAGGAAGCGGAGCTTGTAGTGAGCCGAGATCGTGCTACTGCACTCCAGCCTGGGGACAGAGCGAGACTCCGTCTCAAAAACAAAACAAACAAACAAAAACAAACAAACAAAAAAGCTTTTTTTTTTTTTTGAGTAAACCAATAATTGAAAATCAGCTAGGTCATTTTCATTTGAATTTAAAATTGTGTTTTTTGAATATATAATATTTGTATTGGGTTCAAAATTCAAAAAATGCTTTTAGTGAGAAAGATACCCTCCAAATCCTGTCCTTCAGCTATACAGTATCATTTCTTGTAGGAAATCTGTTTCTAATTTCTTCTGTACCCTTAATTCTCAGATAAATAAATATACACCATTTATTTTCTTTTTTCTATAAAGATGGCATCATATAATATACTCTTAGCACCTTGAGTTTTTTTTAACTTAATAATATATCTTGGTTTGGGGCAGTGGTGTGATCCCAGCACTTTGAGAGCCCGAGGAGGGTGGATCACTTGAGGTCAGGAGTTTGAAATCAGCCTGGCCAACATAGTGAAACCCCTTCTCTACTAAAAATAAAAAAATTAAATGGGCATGGTGGTGGGCACCTGTAATCCCAGTTACTTGGGAGGCTGAAGCAGGAGAATCGCTTGAACCCGGGAGATGGAGGTTGCAGTAAACTGAGATTGCAGCCAGGATGGTCTCGATCTCCTGACCTCGTGATCCACCCGCCTCAGCCTCCCAAAGTGCTGGGATTACAGGCCTGAGCCACTGCGCCCAGCCGCGCCCAGCCATTCTTATGCCTCGCATTGTAGAATGTGCTTCACTCCTCTATAGGTTTTTGTTTGTTTTGTTTTGTTTTTTGAGGCAGGGTCTCCCTCTGTCACCTAGGCTGGAGTGCAGCAGTGCGAACTCCACTCACTGCAACCTCCGCCTCCCCTGCTCAAGCAATCCTCCCACCCCAACCCCGTCTCCCAGCACCTGCGATGACAGTTGCCCGCCACGAAACCTGGCTGATTTTTTTGTGTTTTTGGGAGAAACGGGGTTTCGCCAAGTTGTCCGTGCTGGTTTTAAACTCCTGAGCCCCCCTTGGCCTCCCAAAGTGCTGGAATTACAATCAGGCTGCACTCCAGCCTGACTGACAAGAGCAAATCTGTCTCAAAACAAGAACAAAATCCAGATATTTTAAATTTTTGTCAGTCTGATAGATGAAAAATGTTTCTTAGTGGCGTTTAAAATTGCATTTATCTTATTCCAAGTGGTACCGAATATCTCCTTGTTGGATTCTCATATGTCTTTCCCAATGCCTTTTCATTCATATGTATAAAGACAATTGATATTGTGCTTTCTGTGACCTATTTAGGCTGTTGTCCATTAGGTTGTTATTGATTTGTAGTACCTCTTGATATATTATGAAAATGAGTGCTTTGTTTGTCAAATGAGCCACAAATACTTCTTTCCAGTGTGTCCTTTGTTTTTTACATTGTTTTGGTGGAATTTGCCATGTAGAGTTTTTAATATCTATAAGATGAATTCATGAATCTTTTTATATTTATTGTCTGTGGATTTTGTTTCATTCTTAGAAATGCCCTCCTCATTCTATGACTATAAAATATTTGGTAATGGTTTCCTCTGGTATGGTTTGGGCTTGTTTTTTAACATTTAAATATTTGATATTCTTGAGATGTCTTTTGATTTTGGTTGTTAGGTCTGGTTCACATGGATTTTTAATATTTTATACATATATATTTTTACATCTATTCTTACTGTTTTATTTTTTGGAGACAGGGTCTCACTCTGTCACTCAGGTTGGAGTGCAGTGCTGTGATCATAGCTCACTGCAGCCTCAAACTTCTGGGCTCCAGTTATCTTCCCACCTCAGCCTCCCAAGTAGCTGGGACTACAGGTGCACGTAACTTCTCCTGTCTAATTTTTTAATTTATTTCATTTTTGTAGAGAAAAGGTCTCACCATCTTGCCCAGACTGATCTCAATCTCCTAGGCTCAAGTGATCCTTGTTCCTCAGCCTCCCAAAGTGTTGGGATTACATGTGTGAACCACTGAGCCTGGTGTCAAATGCATTTTTAATAGGTGAACCTGTTTATCCCGATGATTACTCAATCATTGAATGAGTAATCCACCTTTTCCACACTAATCTGAATTGTCTCCTTTATCAAATATTAAATTTCTATGCATATATGTGGGTGTTTTTTCATTTTCTATTCTATTTCATTAATTCCCCTTTCTGTTCATGCATCAGTAAAACACAGCCTTGTATTTACTGAAGTTTTATACTATTTAGTAGCTGGTAGAACTAATCCATTTTTGTGTCTGCTTTTTGTATAGCTTGTGGTTTAGGAATCACGGTTCACATGACTTACATGATTTAAAAAATTAAAAGAAGGTTAATATTTGATTGTGCATAAAATTACATAACATTCAATGTGTGCTTTTAGAGTTTTTTGAGATAGATTGGTACCTGTCATTTATTTATGTATTGCTTCTGACCAGTTTTGCACTGCAATTGCTGAGTGACTAGTTTTGACAGAGACTGCATGACACAAAACACAAAATATTTACTCTCCGGCCCTTTATAGAAAAAGTTTGCCTGACAACTGCTCTAAATCACTAGGAAGAGCTAATTTACTTTGAATACATCGTACTACCTGTAAAAAACTTTCCAACAAAATCATTACTTAGGGATATGATTTAGGTGGGGCTGGGTGGCTCATGCATGTAAGCCCAGAACTTTGGGAGGCTCAGGTGGGATGATTGCTTGACCTCAGGAGATCAACATCAGCCAGGACTACATGAAGAAACTCCATCTCTGCAAAAACTACAAAAAAGCTAGCTGAGCCTGGTGGAGCAAGCCTGTAGTAGTCCCAGCTACTCAGGAGGCTGAGATGGAAGGATTGAATGAGCCTGAGAGGTTAAGGGTACAGTAAGCTGTGTTGGTACCACTGCCCTCCAGCCTGG